TGAAACACTGAGCAGTATCTTGAGCATAGGAGACCTCAAAGCCCTCCCCCACAGTGACTCACTTCCTCCAACAAGACCACACCTACTCCAACAAGGCCAAACCTCCTAATAATGCCACTCCCTATGAGCTTATGGGGGCCAATTACATTCAAATTATCACACATGGGCTTTGGCTTAAGTCTGGAGACCTTCCAACAGATGTCTTTTTGTGTACAAGAGGTCAGAAAGCTGGAGTTGGGAGTCCTGGCAGCAAGAACAGAGCCAGGCTAGACTATACCCCTAGGTTCCTGGGTCTCCTCTGGACCTGAAGATTGTCTTTCTTCTGAAGATTGTCATCTGAAAAATCAAGGGTTGGAGCATAATAATATGCTTGGTGCCTGTTAGCTCTCAGAAAGCTACCAGTCAGAGAATACTAGGCTACATCAGAGAAAAACAAGCCCCAAAGCTTCAGGGGCTACCATAGTCATTCTTCTCACTGCTAGGGTAAAACGCCCTGGCAAAGGCCATGGAAGAAAGGGTTTACTTTGGCTCATGGTTTGAGGGAACTGCATCATGGAGGGGGACACATGGTGGTGGAAAGCTGAGCAGCGCACGTCCTCTCCACTGCCAAGAGTCAGACAACAGTAAACGTTTCTACTCAGTTCATTTTCTCCTTTTTATGCAGTTCAGGGTTCCAGCCTAAGGAATGGGGTCACCCTCAGTGGGCAGGTCTTCCACCTCAGTCAGCCCAGTCTAGACTGTCCCTCACAGGCATGCCCACTGGCCCTTCCACATGACTCTAGATCTTGAGTTGACAATTGAGATTAACCATACAGAGTCATAACCCAGTGAACTCACACTAAGTCCCCTGCTGGTCACCAGAGCCTCTCTTCATTCAGTGACCTAGGGATCAGGCTCCATGTACCCTGTAAGGCCATACACCTCAACAGACCACAGCAGAGTCACCACAGCAGGTAAGTGGAGAGATGGAGGTGCTATACCACCTCTTCAGTGCTCAGCCTTCAAATGACACAGACCCTGCTCCTCCCACTTGACTGGCCAGACCTCAGCGGCCTCAATGAACTGCAGAAGCAGCTGGAAAAATACTGGGTGATTGCTGTTGGATTCCGCCAGTTCACTCATGATGACAATTTCATCTATCTAAGTGAAAATATCCCGGCAGGACCTCATGACACTCTATATTGGAAAGTGAAGAAAGGAAGTCACGTAATTAAGACTGCCAAATCAAGCAGGGTGGAGAAGGGGGGTTGAGGTTAGCGCCAGACCAGATGTCCGAGCTCCAAGCAAGCCCATCCATGAGATCCTTAAAAGCAGGAACCATGTACAAGTCAAGCCACAACTGCCAGGCCCCTGCATCTGAGTCATGAAGTCTGAAGCTTAGACCTTGGTGGTCTGAATTCAAGAGAGGGAGAGGGCTTGTATCACACTCTATAAAAAAAATCATCAGTCATGGGGCTTGGGAGACAGGAAAGTGCTAATTGAGTTCAATCCCCAGGCATGGAAGCAGAAACAGGCAGATGCCAGTCAGTCCAGCTTACACAGTGAGCCAGACACCCCAGTGATTCCGGGGTCAGAAAACAGGTTGATGGCTCCTGAGGGGTGACACCCAAACTTGACCTCTGGTTTCCATATGCATGCACACACACATACACACACACACACACACACACACACACAAATCACCTCTATTTTTTGGGTGCCTGGCATTGTTCTAAGGGCCCAGTGGAAAGGAAAGCATGGCTGAGTCATCCCCACCCCTAACGCCCCCTCCACTGTGAGGTTCCAAATGCCATACAGCTTAAATCATAATAACCCAAGAACCTGTCACATTGCTGCCTCTAGGACTGCTTGCCACCACAGCCACAGTGGGCCAAAAGCTGTGTGTGGGTACCTGACACTAACAACACACTGACCCCTCCCCTCACCCCAAAATTATATTATAGAAGAAATGGGGCAGACAGCTATGATTTCTGACCATGGACTTAGACATGGTTATTTTTGTGCCACCTGAAGATTTTTCCAGATCTATCCAATTGGGAGGAGGAAGGGAGGAGTTGCTTCCTGCAATGTAGATGACAAACGCCACTGCTGGGAAAATGCAAGCCATTGCAGACAGAGCTGGAGATGTGGTGTCTTGATGCTAATTAACTTATTATTCTCACTGCATCCTGTTTAGACACTCAATATAATTTAGCAGAGCCTGGACCCAGCAGCCCTTCAAGGCGCCGTCTGCTTGGGTGTTCGTCATCTTAAAGGGGCCGACACTAAAGAAAATTGGTACAGTTAATCAGAGGAAAATGCACAAATCTGAGACTCCTGAATAGATGTGGAATTCTGGAACCTGTAGGCCAAGCCACAGCAGAGAGGAGAGAGCCCATTGCAGGGCTGCCTTGCCCCAAGGGTCCCATTAGCTGACAGAACCTGGAAGTCTGCAGAGCTTCTAGAAACCCAGGCATCCTGCAAGGAGAGATGGTGTGCAACAATCACCCCTCTGTTCCTAGAACCCTTTTGACCTTGGGGGTCAAAAGTTCATAGCAGTGGAGGAGAGTTTCCCGTGCCAATGCATCTGGCCCCAAAGCATACTGTATATCACCCTCCCACCTCCATAGAGTCCCCAGGAACCCAACAGCCCAGGTGGGCAGTCAGGAAAGCTACTGTGTCGTCTGCTTCCGGATGACAGGAGAAGCAACTACTTGGTGCCCTCCCAAGACTCCTTTAAAATAACAACAAAGAAATAAAAAAATAAGCTAACCAATAACAACAATGAGAACAGGAGAGCCATCAGCCACCTACAGAGAGTCCAACAGAGTTCATGCGGGCGGGGCACAGAGACAGTGCCCAGACACAATTGAGCAAGTGCTACCTGTTGGCTTCCAAACATTAAAAAAGCAAGCCTCAGACAAAAGGGAGAGGCTCAAAAGAGGTTTGCAGGTTTGTAAAGGCCCTCAGCACTGGGTGTGAACTAGGTGTGAACTGCTCTGTAGAAAGACAGGAGCTATGAAGCAGTGTGGCTGCAGAGGAAGCCCTGGGCACAGCTCTGTCGGAACTGAGAGAGGAAGGTTTCTGTATTAAACTTGAAAAGTGACTGTCCTGATTAGCTTTAGCTGTCAACTTGACACAACCTGGAGTCACTGGAGAAGGGAGTCTCAACAGAGGGACTTCCCAGATCATATTGGTCTATGGGAGTGACTGTGGGATTATCTTGATTAACTTAATTAATGTGGGGGGACCCAGCCCACTGTGGGTCACACCACCCCCTGGGCAGTGGTCCTGGGTTGCATAAGAAAGCAGGCTCAGAGCATGAGCCTGGGAGTGGGCTGCGAGCAGCATCCTCTGTCTGCAATCTTGCCCTGCCTCCCTCAGTCGAGGCCTGGAAGCTGAAAGGAGCCCTTCCTTCCCCGAAGCTGCTTTTGGTCAGATGCTGTGTCACTGCAGCAAATGAAAACTAGAACAATGGTGAATAGAAAACCAAGCCCAAACCAGGAGAGTCATCCTCAAGAAGCTGAAGATGAAGGCTTGAGAACAAGCCGGCCAGGTCTCCATTATTCAAAGCCAAGAACTGACCAGAAGGCAGGTCACTGGGATAATGCAATGGGAGCATGTGTTCAGATTTATCAAGGTCACACCAGCAGAACCCAGGGTGACCCTCACCGTGGAGCAGAGGACTTGTGTTTTGCATTGGCAAATCTTGTCATTTTATTTCACTCCCTGCATGACAGTTAGATGTCCAGTTGATTCAATCACCTAGTGAAAACACAACTCTAGGTGTGTCTGTGAGGGAGTTTCCAGAGAGGTGTGGCAGAGGAGGGGAGACCCACCCACTGTGGGCTGATGCCCAGGATGAACAACAATAAACCCAGGAGCAGGAATGCCTAGTGTACACTCACTCTGCTTCCGGACAGTGGGTGCTGTGTGCCCCTCTGCTCCACGTTCCTGCCACCATGCCCTCCCCGTCACCATGGACTGCACCCTCAAACTGTGAGCCCAGGTAAAACCTTCTCCATTCAAGCTGCTTTGAAATCAGTTGGCACCTCTGTGTAAACCGGGGACCACAATGGCAGAGCTGCTGTAAGGGTCTGTGTTGGGAGAGATCTTACTAGTACCTGTAGCACCAACCACGCCCCTTTGGGCGTAGTCACAGGTGCGTAGTGGGGGCATGTGGGTTAGGCCTGGGGAGAGGAAGATAGAACTCTCTCTTGGGGCTCCGGTCTGGTCTCGGAGGGCAGCTTAGACAGGATGCTCAGAGAGCTGATCCTGGGTTATCGGTTTCTCATGTAAGTGATTTCTCTTCACTAAAATAGCCTATGACCCCCTACCCCATGTATGGTAATCTCCATCCTACACCCACAGGCTTGTGAGGCCAATTCTGTAGACCTGGGACAGGAACGGCACGATGGGCTGCTTTCTCCTGCATTCTCTTCCTGGGGCCTCGTCACCTCTCTTTACATTTCCACAAATTAATCCCCAAAATTAATCCCCACTCCCACAACCTCTTTGTGTCCTTCACTTTCTGTCCGCACTGAAGGAGAGGTCATTGTCATAGGGTAAAGGCCACACCTGAGACCTCACCTCCCAAACCCACAGAAACACAGCTGGTTGGGAGGAACAAGAATGAATTTAGGCTAAAACTGTGGAAGAAAACTCTTGCACTGTGAGTCTTATGTTCACTAAAGAATCTGCTAAAGAATGAAATAGTACTTCCTGTGACATCATTTCCTCTACTTACTGTTTCTAAACCTCTCCCAGGCATCTTAAACGCAAGCCATGTGGAGATGCCTGGGGTTTTAAGGTGATATTTTAAGCTCCTCTGGCTCAGTAGCCAGACTCTTGCTAAGGCGATGCAGGTGTCACACCTGTGGGCCAGGTACTTCCTGACACATGTCACAAGTTATGGGAAGTCCTCCAACAAAGGCCACGGTGGCCATTCCATAAACCTAAGAGCATAATTGTGACAGTGAGCCCTGCCGTTCCCATGCGGTCAGGAGAAAGAGCCATCTCACCTTAGCCGTTCCTCCTCCTTTTTGCGAAGATTGAAGTCTCTCTGTACCACCTGGAGAACGTGCTCCGTCTCATCGTCTGTCAGACCAGACAGGTCCAGCTTCCTCCCCATGATCAGAGTTAAACACGGACGACGGAACTAGATCTGGAGAGTGAAAGAAGAGGTCGTAGACTGAGGGTGAGATTGAGCTCAACGTGGATAAAATCCACCCTCCACTGACCAGCACTAGACAGTTTCAGTGGGGCTGCACACAAAGGCAGTGTGTCCCCGGAACTCACGCACGCTGCTTCTAGATGGCCCCAGACAGACTGCAGCGAAGAAGGTGACCGAGCAGCTGCCGGTTTCATGCTATCAACTCTTAAGTGAAGACAAAGATAGCTGTCTATCCGGCACAGATTGTACACCTGTGACCCCGGCACACCTGTGACCCCGGCACACCTGTGATCCCCACACACCTGTGACCCTAGCTACTGGAAATAAGCAGGATGTATCTGTGTGTCAGACACAGTGTTACACACCTGTGACCCTAGGGACAGGGACTAGTCAGGATTATCAGGAGTTTAAGATCATCCTGGGCTACGTAGTGAGCTCTAGGCCAGCTTGGGATACCGAAGGAAGGAAGGAAGGAAGGAAGGAAGGAAGGAGAGAAGGAAGGAAGGAAGGAAGGAAGGAAGGAAGGAAGGAAGGAAGGAAGGAAGGAAGGAAGGAAACCAAACCAGCAACAACAAAAAATCTGTCCTTTTCATCAAAATTAAACACAGATTTCCACAAAGCACTGAAAAAACAATAATCAAGAATTCTTAATTTCTGTAGTTTGACGAGTCACTTATAGGTATTCTATTTAGTCACCAAATGAATTATAATTATTTTCCTTAAATAAAGTAATATCCTATGTACACTATGCCCCTTAAACTTTTTTGCAGGCCTATGCAATAAACCCTAGAAATCCCAACATGATTTATAAAGCCAGAGGGAGGAGCTGAAACTTTATGCTCTGTGTATACAGTACCTTCTGAGTCTATAAGATAGAACGAGGGCTGGGAATATAGCTCTGTTGGGAGAGCACTTTTCTGGCATGCACTGATTCCCGAGTTCAATCCCCAGCACTGCATAAAGTTGGGTGTGGCGGAGTCCCACACCAAAATTTCAACACTCCAGAGGTGGGGGCAGGAAGGTCAGACATTCAAGGTCACTGAACTTCCTTTAGAAAATACTTCCTAGTTTTTACCTATTTCACTTTTCTTTTTGTTTTTGGTCTCAGCTATAACAGTTCAAGGCCAGCCTAAGTTTCATGAGACCCTACCTCAAAAGTGAATGAATGAATGAATGAATGAAGTAACATAAACCTCAAACTAAACAAAAAAATAATCTACATGTATCTTAATGAGCTATCTGAAACTATTCAAGAAAACACACTGGAATTGTAATAAAAACAATGACACTGGGATTGTAACAAATAAATGCCCTTAATAAAGTTCCTATTGAACGACTGAACACCTGCTATGTGTCACAAGCTTTAGTTTTACATATACATATATTAAACAGTTCTAATATCCACCACATCCTACGAGCAGTCACTACCCCGCTTACAGAAGAGGAAACAAGGCACGCACTCACCCCTCTGTTGCTCCCCCAGGAGTGACACTTGTGACTTGGCTGTCTCTCTGCCTCATGGCCCCGGCCCTGCACACTCACATCTTATCTAACAGAGGACAATGGAAGGGACTGAGCCCCTGTCCCTCTCCCTATGTGTGCTAAGTAGGTACACAAGGAGCAGCAGGTTCCATTGTGTGTGTGTATGCATGTGTGTACATGTGTACATGTGTGTATATTATGTGTGTGTATTATGCATGTGTGTATGTATGTGTGTATATGTATGTATGTGTGTGCATCTCTGTGTGTATGCATGTGTGTATATTGTACATGTGTCTGTATGTGTGTATGTTGTGTACATGTGTGTATGTATGTATGTATGTGTGCATGTGTATATGCATGTACATGTGTGCATCTGTGTGTGTGTATGTGTGCATGTGTGTGTATGTGTGTATGTGTGTGTGTGTGCATCTGTGTGTGTGTGTATCCTATGTTGGTGATACTGCCTTCAGAGGTCAGAGCAGTATCTGTTGGAGGGTGTTGGGTCTTCTGGAACTGGAATTACAGATGTCTGTGAGCAGCCCAACTTGGATGCTGGGAACTGAACTCAGGTCCTCTGGAAGAGCAGCAAACGCTCTTAACAACTAAGCAACCCCTCCTGCCTCCTGGTTGTTGCTGTTTGTTTGTTTGTTTTTAAGAAGGGTCTTGGTATATAGCTCTGGTGTACCTTAATTCACTATGCAGCTCAGACTGGTCTTGAACTCACAGCAATTTTCTTGCCTCAGATTCCTTATTGCTGGAATTACAGTTACACACACACCCCACTCCATTACCTGGTTGCTACTTTTTTAAAGGTATGCATTCTTTTCATTTCCAAATAATAGCAACAAATTGAGAAAACAAAAAGACTTTCACCCTCAAGCCTCTTGTTAAGTGATTTAAAACCTTGTGACGGCATTATACACACTAATCTCTAGATTTCACCACAAATCGTGGCAGGAATTTTAAGCATTTAAAAACTTACTCTCCAGTAATGCAACTTGATGACAACAAATCATCCGTGTGCTTTAGCTAAGTGACGCTGAGGTGGGAGGGTGACTGGATACCTGCAGGTCAGCAGAGCCAATCCAGGGCCAAAGTCCAGCCCAGGGAGAACAAGGTCAGACACCACCTTAGTCCACCCACAAGCAGGAAGTGTGAGAGATGTCTCCTTCAAATACCCTACTAAAGAGCTGGAGATGGCTCTGTGGGTAAGAACACTGGCTGGTCAAGGTTGAAGACCTGAGTTCAAATCCACAGAAGTCACATACAAAGCCAGGCCAGTGCTGGAGAGCTGGCTCAGCAGTTAAGGGGGCACTGGCTGCTCTCACAGAGAACCCAGGTTCGGTTCCCAGCACCCACGTGGCAGCTCACAACTCCAGCTCTATCAGATCCAATGCCCTCTTCTGGCCTCTGTGGGAACCTGGCAACACGTGGTGCACAGACATACATGTAGGCAAATCCCTCACATAAGTACAGATAAATCTCAGGAAGAAGAAAAGGCTGGGCATGGCCACACATGCACCTGTAACCTCAGCATCAGGAGCGCAGAGACAGGAAGATTCCTGGGGTTAGCTGACTTCCAGCCTTGCTCTGGTTTACCAAAGTAACAATGCAGAAAATGACACAGCAGGAGTCAAGTCCTCCTCTGGCTTCCACACATGTGTGCACAGGCATACATGCTTGCACATGGAGTGCAGACACCACACACACAGACACAACACCTACCACACACACACACACACACACACACACACACACACCACACACACATACCACATATACACACACACCACATATACATACACGCACACACACACACACACCACATATACACACACGCACACACACCACACACACAAAACCCATACACACATACACCACACACACACACACACACACACACACACACACACACACCACCCTGTTAGGGCCCTGGGGTGGACCTTCCCTGAAGGTAACATTTCCATGACATCACTGATAATGGTAAATGAGATTTAAGATGCCAAGCTGGCTAGATAAGGCAATGTGGACCAGATTGTATCTAGAAAGGAATGATGGAGACTCAAGGGGGCTAAGTGGCTTCTGTGGCTCCAAACGGCCAGGACGGAATGGAGAGCACTTTCTGAGCAACGGTACCAGCTCTTCCCTTTCAACAATAAACACAATTAGATGCCACAGGCAATGAGTTAGGCAGTGCCATCGAGCCGAGGAAAGATGCCTCTCTGCTCATGAGTTGGGGGCACTCGGGCTGCACCATGTCTCAGAATATGAGAAAGGACACCCTGGGACAAGAGGCACATGTCCAGACACACAACAGGTGCAGGCATTCCTGGCCCCATTGGGGCTGTCACCACCTGCTTCCTCTGTCTGACACGGCAACCTAGAGGCGACAGAGGGAATATATCCTAAAATTTAGTAATGAGAAAATTAATACCACCTCAACGTTTAATTCTAGTGCCACCTCCCAAAAGTGTTTGCTGACTTATTGTTCCCACGAGCAGCTTGTGACAGAGGAGCTCCTTTGTGATAAATCTGAGCAAAGTGTCACGCTCTGCCATCCTCGTGGGGTTACACAAGGCTTATGAGATAACCAGCTCTAACAGTCTGTGGCTGAAATAGTAGGTAGAGTCGTTTGACCCTGAACTTGTGACTGCAGGGCAGTTCCCACCTTCTCAGGGCTAAGTGGGAAACCACACAAAGTCAAACCACTGCTGATGCGCTCTGGCCACTTGGGCCCCTGAGCTGATGTGTGTGGCCTTTTGGATGCAATTGCCAGAAGTCAGGTGATCTTCAGCAGTGCTTTGACAGGACTGGAGAGAGGCTGGTGGTTAAAACCATACTGCTCTTGCAGAGGGTCACATTTGGTTTCCAGCACCTACATCAGGGACTCACAACTGCCTGTAACTGCAGACCCCCTGCCTATAGCCTCAGAGAGTACCTACAGACACAAAAATAGCATCATCATAGCAGCAGCATCAGTAGCAGCATCACCACCACCATCACCACCACCATCATCACCATCACCACCATCATCACCATCATCATCATCGTCATCACCATCATCACCATCATCACCATCACCATCATCATCACCATCATCATCATCATCACCACCATCATCACCATCATCATCATCGTCATCACCATCATCACCATCATCACCATCACCATCATCATCACCATCATCATCATCATCACCACCATCATCACCATCATCATCATCATCACCATCATCACCATCATCACCATCACCATCATCATCACCATCATCATCACCACCATCACCATCATCATCACCATCACCATCACCATCACCATCACCATCATCACTGTCACCACCATCACCATCATCATCATCATCACCACCATCATCACCATCATCATCATCATCATCACCATCATCACCATCATCACCATCACCATCATCATCACCATCATCATCATCATCACCACCATCACCACCATCACCACCATCA